GCTTATACTAAATAAGTGTCAGGGGTCTTGCCTTCCAGGCCAGGGCTCTCCTCCCACACTACTCCCCACCAGGGCACCCCCACCCCCACCCCAGGACGGCGTTGCCTGACGCCTTTCCAGCATCGGGTCCTGCGTCAGGGGCAGCCCCTCCCCATGGGCAGCTGTGCCATTGTGCCATTGGCCGGGGACTGTGCTGGGGGTGACCCCCAGACAAGGGCTGACGGTGGGGGGGGGGGTGGTGATGTCAGAGGGGGTCCCATGCTGGCGGCGCCGTTTAGCAAGGGGAGGAAAGGAAACGTAAGGAATGAGTCACATTTCCGGAGGCTGGGCTACCGCGGCCCATATATTTCTGCCTAGAAGAGTATTTATGGAGCCGGGCACTCCCTCCCGCGGCCGGGCTGCCGTGCGCTCACAGAAGGGCGTTTTTTAAAAAAGAATTTTATTTATTTATGTTCAGAGAGGGACGGGAGGGAGGGAGAAAAAGAGAGACACACACACACACACACACACACACACACACACACATCAATGTGTGGTTGCTGGGGGCCATGGCCTGCAACCCAGGCATGTACCCTGACTGGGAATCGAACCTGCAACACTTTGGTTCGCAGCCTGCGCTCAATCCACTGAGCTACGCCAGCCAGGGCCACAGAAGGGCTTTTAAAGGAAGTGTCCGCCACCGGTCTGCAAAGCCGTGATGAACGGAGCCCCGAGAGCCCCGACTTCGGGGCACACTCTGCTGTTTGCGCTGGAGTGGCCGCCCTGGCTTGCGGGAGGCCGTGTGTCCCCAGGGCTACGGGGAGGAGGCTGGGTTTGCGGGGTTCACAGTGGCCACGGTGGGGTCCTTAGGAGCAGGTGGGGCACAGAGGGTATCCCCACCCCAGGGGGAGGTTACCTGGCACAAAGCGTCCTGCCAGTTTTCAGATACGATGACCCCGGGGGTCGCTTCTGACGGCCTCTCCAGTTTGCGAGTGAAGAGTGGAGGCACGGAGACGGGAAGTGCAATAAACAGTGTGCAGCCGCACAGCCCGAAAGGGATGGAACGAGAGCCTGAACCCAGAGCCGGGGACCGTCCTCGGTGTAAGGCCTTCCGCACGGCCCCGGGGGCCGCCTGGGACTCGGAAGGACCACAGCCCTGGGCCCCAGTCCCAGCCTCGCTGCTCACTGCTGGGTAAGCTCAGGACAGTCGCTTAACCACTGGCAGGTCACTGACCCCGTCCGGTGGGGCGGGGAGGGGAGGAGAGCCCGCCTCACCAGACACGTGACAGATTAGCACCAGGGGCTTCTCGGCGGCAGCGGGTTAATTCCCCCGGGCTGCCAAAACCAAGGGTCGCTAGCCAGCGTAAATAGAAATTTATCGTGGCCCAGTTCTGCAGGTCAGGGTCGGCGATCCGGGGGTCGGCAGGGTGGGCCCCCGTGCCGTGCCTCCTCCCCGCTCCTTGGCCATTCGCATCACCATCGCCTCCGCGAGCCGTGTCTGTCTTCTGTCTCTTTAAGGACCCGGGCCTTGGATCTCAGCTAATCCAGGATGATCTCATCTCCAGGTTTTTAATGTAATTACCTCTACGGACTTTTTCCGAATAAGTTCATATTCACAGGGTCCCAGTGGACATCTTTTGTGGCGGTTGCAGGGGGGGGCGGTCACCATTCAACCCACTACAGCCCATGAGAGGGCTCAGTCCTTACTAGGGCTCCAGCCCCCTCCCCCTGTGGCCCCCACTTCCGTTCCTGAAACCTCAGAGCTGAGTTCCGGCTCCTTCATCCTTCCTTCCCCAGGTCCCAGGAGCGGAGATAGCCCAGGTGCTGGCCCACCTTCAATTATTCCCCTACCGGCTCCCCTCTACTGATGGGCTGGGGTTTCGGCAGCCTGTCCTTGGGGGTGAGGTAATGGGCCAAGCGGGGGCTGCTCAGCTCTCAGGAAGCCACCCTCTTGAGCCCAAAATGTGGCTGGAGGGGTGGCTGTGGCACCTGCTGGCCGGGCTTCTGCCTGGGGTTTCCAGGGGGAGACACGGGCTCGGGGCCCCAGCTCAGGGCAGGGAGCTCAGGCGTGGGGCTTAAGGAGACCGGGGCTTGGGCGGGGAAGGCTGGGATGCCGAGAGTCCCGTGTCCTATCCCAGGCCTTTCCTCGCCCTGGGGGTGGCAGGTTGGAACAAGCTCAGATGGTAAATGACTTAAAGTCTTCCTATTTTAAAAATAAATGTTGTTGCTGCCGTGACAAAGGCAGACACACTCGGGATGGAACTCTGGGGAACTGGGGAAGAGAAGGAAGCAGAGGAGACGAGCCGGCTCCCAGGGACCGCCCTCCTTAACCATTTTTGGCAAACTTCATTTCAGTGTTTCTTTTTCCCTCTGCGTAAATTTCATTTCACAGAGTTAACACTGTTTGCACCGTCTGTGTCTGGCTCCCCCCGCCCCGCCCCCACTTACTTCTGCAGCTCGTGCGTGCTTTCCCACGTAAGGACAGGCTCCTTGTGAATGTAACTTCTATCGGCAGGATAATACCCCCTGCAGGGGCTGTGGCGTGATTTCCCCATCGATTCCCTCTCGCTCTTGTCTTGGTGGCTTCACGGCTGTGAGTGGCCAAAGCAGCCAGCCCGCCAGGCAGCAGCGATCCTGGGGAGGCTGGGCCCAAGGTCACCGGCCAGCTGGGCGGGGTCAAGGGCGGTGCCTCTGAAAGGCTGGCTGAGCCGCTTTGTCAACTGCGAGGCCGGGGTGTCCCGCAGGAGCTGCCGCGGCCCTGTCAGACACCCTCACCTCTGAGCAGCTTTATCTTCATCTCTGACAGGTCTGCAGCGGGCCTTGGCCTTGACACTTCCTCTTTATGTCTCTCGCTTTCGGAGCCTCTCTGTCAAGTAGCTAATGAACTGTAAATAGACACGCCAGCGCTGCAGGGGGCCCTGGAGGCCGTGCCTGTGCAAAGAAGCCTCGGGAAGGCAGAGAGTGCCCATGTGGCACCAGCTCCTCTCGGGGGCCAGACAGCGAGCGTTGTCTGCTCTTGCCTTCCCTGTGGGGGGGCACTGGAGGTGCTCCCCAGACAGCCTTGGCCCTCACGCCTGTGCTCGTTGCTTTGGGAGCTCAGAGAGTCCCTGCCCTACCTCCTTCCCGCTCCCCCCCACCCCCTCCAGCTCGCTGTCTCTTAAACTGGGTCGTGACTAGACTCACTAGGACAGCTTTTAGAAATGCAGATCCCCAGGTTCTCCATCCTAAAGAGTGGGACTCAGAGGGTTGGGGGGGAGGGTCCCCCTGATTAGATTATCAGGCTGCTTTGGGTTAGTCTGAGGACACCCCACAGCTCTGCTCAGTAACGTCCTTGAGCTTGGTGCTGCTAACAAGCCCCCACGGTCCCCCACTCCGGAGGGACAACTGTGCTCTTTCTTGAAGGTTACTGATCCGATCCAATTCCTTCGTTTTACGACCGGGTGAGCTGAGTCCAGAGAGAGAAGGGGACCGGTCCCAGGTCAGCAGGGCCGAGATGAACTGGAACAAGGTTCCCCCAGCCCACCCCCCGGCGCCTTCCCCTATTCATGGCCGTGTATCCCTGGGGCACCATGGCCCCCAGACCTGGCTGGGCGGTGTTTTAGCCGACTCCCCTGTCCCCTTGCAAATCATCCGAGGCCAAACTGATACAATCCTGCAGTTTCCACAGGCCGTTGGGTCTCGCCAAGCCCTGCGGCGGCTTTAGTCTCTAGCTGGTTCTGCAAGGAGGAGAAAAAGGCAAATGCTGACCACTCTGCCGGTAGAGGGGGAAGAGGATAGGGGCCCCTCTCCTCCGGGGTCTTTTCCGTGTTGCAAAATCCCTGATCTCGTCCTAGCTCCGCCTGCAGGGACTGGAGAGAGAAGGGCTCCCACACCCTGGCGCCGATGGGCCAGCGCCATCCGGGTTGTCCCAAGCACCAGGACCAGGTTCCCCGGGGGAGGTGGCGACGCCGAGGGACACCCCCCTGGTGAAGGGGGGGTGCATGGCTCTTCTCCTGGCCCGTGGGAAGGGACAGGCGGTGGGGGCTGGGCTCAGAGGGGGCCCGAGCCCTTTACAGAACGTGTGTGACTGTCATTTGGGCAAAGGGGCCGCCAGCCGGGGGCCGGCACGTCCCTTCTGGCCCAGAGCCCCCACCAACCAAGGTGTGAAAGGGGCCCACCGAGGGGGTCGTGGCAGCAGAAGGAGCCGAGCGCCTGCAATGAAATGCGGATGAGCCTTTTCACCCCCATGAATCGGTAGCGGGGCCCGTGGGTGTCGCTGGCTGGGGGCCCTGGAGTTTGTCTCAGCTGGCAATGGCCATTGTTGGCGACACTGGCTCCCTTACCTCTGGTCTGTCACTTTTTAAGGTTCCTGGGGAGGGCTGGGGGGGGCGGGTAAAGAGGGGGCCTGGAGAGAGCCGGATCCCTGGAGAACCGGCCCAGGGGACCGAGTGAGGTCTGCCCTGAGGCGGGGCGGGGGGCCCCTGGTGTCAAACCGGGGCCACCACCGTTCTCAGCTCCGCAAGGGCAGGGACAGCGCCTGCCTCGGGTGCCTGCCCCGCACCGCCCAGCGCAGTGCCCAGAATGCGGGCTCAGCTAGAACTCGGTAAGAGGATAGATGGACGAGGAAGCTCCAGGTCCAGTCCCTTCGGAAACTAACTCTCTGCCCGGGGACCCACGAGGAGCACGGTCTAACTTACTCTACGCTCTTGCGTTAGTGGGAGACTGGTTTATTCATTCGACCTACATACATTGAGCACCTACTATGTGCCAGACGAACTCCGGTGGTCAATACACTCATCCCCCAGCGCCGGAAGGTGGCTGACCTCAGGAAATGGTTCAGAGGCAATTTCTTGGACCAAAAATGTAAGGGGAGTGGTGGTGTGGCGGTCAGGGCGGAGGCGAGGCTGGTGGGGGGGAGAGCTCTGGCTGAAGGGCGGGGCGGGCAGGCCTGATCGCAGCGACTCATTCCAAGTTGCGCTGGGAGTTAGGGGCGGGGCCAGCGTCCCGGCTGTGGACGGAGATTAAAAGCGTCACCACCGGGCTGTCTCCCCATGTTCTAGGCCTTGTACTGTGAACAGCCGGAGCCGAGAGAAGCTGAACCTTCTCCCTCCTGCATCGCTCCCCAACCCCCAACTCCGATTTGCTGCAGTCCCTGGGGGTCAGTGTTGGGGTGATATAGGATAGATGCCACGTTGGCAAGGCTGCCGCTGCCGCCAGGAAGAAGAGAGATGCTGGCCCCTGAGGGTCCTTATCGCACTAATTGGTGTGTGGGGGGGTGACAAAGATTGCTCTGCAGTGGCCCAGCTGTCCCCACCCCTGCTGGATAAAGAGGGTCCGGCATTGGCTGTTGGTCTCTTCCTCCCCTCGGCCCCCACGCACCTCCAGGGAGGGAAGGCCCTGGTGTTATCCGCCGGCCCCTTTGGCTTTTGGAGGTAGAATGAGGGAGAATACGGGGAGTAGCTGGAAAATCTGGAGCTTGGGAGGGGAGCCGGTGCCAGGGGGATTTGGGAGGAAGACAAGGAAGGTAAATGGGAGAGGCAAGCGCACTGGGAGGTTCTTCTGACCACGTGCCCCCTTCAGGAGGCTTGAGAGACACCACTGAAGAATTTGAAATAGTTTAAAATAACTTCTTCGTTGCTAGGCCGGGTGGCTTTCATCATGGGGATGCTGACCGTTCGGATGACGGTTTAGCAGGGCGACAGCTCATCAGAACAAAAACAATGCTCAACAGGGACTGAGTATCATCACGTACGAGTAAAAATGATCAAGTATCTCCCGTTTCATTTAATAACACTCTGCTGCCTTTTCCCTCTTTTCTGTCGTGAGCTTTGACCTCCGCCGGCCTGCTCTCCTCCCCCATCGTGCCGGCTAATAGAATTCCGATACCGAGTCTTGAAGCCGCGAGCCCTTCCGACTGCTGGGGAAAGACATCTCCGCGAGATAAGATGTAAGAAACCGGCTCCCACTTTCCCTGCAGCTATAGGAGAGCAGATTCTAGCCTGTGCCAACAATCCATTCCTGCAAATGCTATTTCTAACGGAAGCGTTTTATTGCTTTTATTTATTACTTTTTTCATCCTTGTCCCAAGATATGTTTATCGACTTTAGAGAGAGAGAGAGAGAGAGAGAGAGAGAGGGGAACATGGAGGTGAGAGAGAAACACCCATCACTTGCCTCCTGTACGCGCCCCAACCAGGGATCGAACCTGCAACCTAGAGCGTGTGCCCTGGCCCGGAAATGGAACCCACAGTCTCTGGGAATATGGGACAGTGTCCCAACCAGCTGAGCCACCAGGCCAGGGCACACACACCGCAAGCTCCCGGTGACTCAAAACTGTTCCACGGGCTCTTCAGCTGGTCCAGACTCCTCTGATGTGAGCACAGAGATGGAGTCTCGGCATCTGCAACATGGCCTCCGCTGTGCCCAGGCTTCTCTCTGTGCAGCCCGTGGAACAACCAGAAATGACAAGAAGCTCTCAGGCTGGGCCGTTCACAGGTACAGAGAAGCCGTAATTTCCATAACAAACACAGGCACACACCGGGCGGTCACAGACGCCTCCACAGGGCTGCAAGGGGAACGCCTGCTGAACCAGGACTAGCCAATAAAACCCAGAGTGTCTTCCTCTCCTTCCCCACGCTAATGAGCTGAACAGACTCCAATTATGAGCCCAGTGCAAGGGCCTGGCCATGATGGAACTTGTCAGTGGCCTTGAAGCTGAACTAGCGGTACATCCTGAGAGGCTGCGTGAAACACGGGCGTCTTCGTAGTCCTGGCACCACTCCCGGTGAGGACAGAGAGGATGCAGGAGAACCAGGGCCCGGCAGGGGCTGGAAGGGGCTGGGAGGTGGGGAAGGGGATGGCTGGAGGGGGAGGAGAGTGAGGCCTTGCAGAATGTGTTGCTTCTGTAAGATTTAGGGTAACAGGAGCTAAAGCCCCCTCTGGCTCAGTTTGTAACTGAATAGTCCTTGTGACCTCGGGGTCTCAGTTTCCTCATCCTGAAAAATGGGCACAATGACACAGGCTTTCCCTACTTTTTGGGGGCTTTGGGAGGTCCTGAGGAGATATAAAAGGAACGTGGGAAATGCGGGTCCCAGGCCCATTTACAGATTTACGCGCTGCTGGAGCTGGAGGGTGACAGGGTTCAGGCACACCTGCTCCTTTCCGGCCGGGAAGACTGAGTCCCAGGGAGCGAGCGGCAGGGATTGCATGACATCCTCGAGTGAGCTGGTGAACGAGACGAGACCAAGTGCCAGGGGCCCTGATGCGTGAACGAGGGACCCTTGCTTCTCCCTCCTCATTCCTTTGCCCCCTTCCTGGAAGTCAGGCCCATCCCTGAGGCAGCAGCGGCTGCTGAGCCTGGCTGGGTGGGGTGTGGGCCCGCACACCGTACAGCTGTGCGCTCCCTGGGTGCCCTGGCTGCCTGGGGAGGGGTGTCCCTGATGTAGCAGCAGCGCTTTGAAGGCCGCGTGTACCGATGCTTTTGTTCGCTGCGTAAATGGCAGTGCGCGGTCTCCCCCACCGGCATCCCACCCGCACGAGCCCGTCTCTCCCATGGGCTGCGATGAGGCTTGTGTCTCAGACGATAAGCCTTGCGGAGTGGATTAAACATCCTGCGTGCCCTTCGTCCCCAAGTGGTAGCCCATACACTGGAAGAGTTTGGGAAGAACTGGCCTAAAAAAGGCAACACGTTCTGTTTCTAGATGAGCCAGATGCCTCTGGAGCCACCACTCATTTATTCTTTCAGCGGTAAAGAAGCCACAAGACGTGACCCTGTGCACGCAGGAGCGAACAGCTCATAATATCTCACCAATGCATGCTGCTGGCCCCAAGAGGGTCCGCAGGAAAGGAGCACGGTGCCTGGGAGGAATGCACCCTTGGCTCGGGAGAGAGAACTGCGTGTGCTGGGAGGTGAGGAGGGGTTATCATCGCCGCAGTCTCGGTGCACCGGTGCAACAGTCCAACTTGGCCTCTCCGCTTCCCCTCCTACCTCTCCAGTCCACATAGCAGCTAAGAACGCAGGTTGTTTCATTTTATTTCATTTTTAAAATCCTCGCCCAAGGAAATGTTTATTGATTTTAGAAATAGAGGGAGGGACAGGGAGAGAGAGAGAGATCAATGTGAGAGAGAAACATTGATCGGTTGCCTCCCATACATGCCCCAGCTGGGGATCAAACCCGTAACCTAGGTAGGTGCCCTGACTAGGAACTTTCTAGTGCATGGGATGACCGACACTGTAGTCAGCTGAGCCGCCAGGCCGGGGCAGAAGAGCAGGTTGTTTTGTGCATGAATCAGATGATGTTCCTCCCATGCTTGAGATCCAACTCCTGGTACAGCCTGCAGGGCCCTCGTGATCGGGCCTCTGCTTACCTCTCCAGCTTTACCTCCTCCCTGTCTGCCCCTCAAGCACTCTGCTTCGGGCCTGGCCTCCCCTTCTGTCCCGTGAACATGCCACGTTTGTTTCCAACCTTTGCCGCGGCTGCACCCTTTTCCCGGAATGAATTTCTGCCAGATCTTCCCAAGTCTGGCTCCTCCTCACTGTTCAAGTCTCAGCTCAGACACCACCGTCCAGAGCTCCCTGCCCCGATGGCCCTAGCAACAGCCGGTCTCACCCAGTCACCGTCCAGCCTTTTACTCCCTTTATTTCCTTCATAGAACCTACAACAAGTGGAAACTTTGTCCTAATTATTGATATGCTTATTTACTCCCTGTATTTCCCTCCCCCTAGAATGTAGGGCATGTATTTGGCTCATCACTGCATTTCCAGGGCTTAGCACAAGCCCTGGCACAAGATTGGTTTTCAATAAATATTGGTTGAATGAATGAGGTCATTGATGGTGCACATATTTTAAAGGAAAGATTTCTAAATAAGGTCCCCCCCCGCTTTTTTCTCTCAGGGAGGAAGGTATTCTTGCACTTAAGTTTCAAAGGGAAAGTAAGCAGGGTCCCAGGGGTTCCGATTTTCTGCCCATGTCCTTCACTGACAACGCTAAATGTGAGAAGCTCCATTCACCCGGGCATCGCCCCCCGCCCCCCACCCCGCTACCCCTCACCATGCGCGAGTCCCCGGGAGACACCTGGATTAGAGGAAGAAGGGGGAGGTGAAAGCAAGGTACATGCTGGCTGTTTTCCAAACCAATCTTCTCATCGCACATACGTTTTTAACGCCGTCGGAATTTAATTTGTTACAGAAAGCTGGAAACAGGGACGTTGTGGGTAAATAGCGAACCCCAGACGGGAAGAGAACTTTCCACACACCCGTTTCACCAACCCGTCTGTTTCCGCCCCCATTTAGCGCGCGAGCCGCGGCCAGGGCACCTCTGTCCGAGGTGCTGAAACAGCGTCCCGGAGCTGCCTGGCGGCGCGAGGTCACCGTGCCCTGCCGCAGCTGCATCGCACTGAAGTGACAGCTGCTGAAAATCACACGCCAGGACCAGAATCCGATTCTCGCTTGGCATTCCTGGAGGCTGTTTAGGAGAGGCTGCCACCGCCATCCTATTCTGCTCCAGGGAGAGCGGCCGGGCTGCGGGATGACGAGACCCTTTGGCAGCTCCGAGGAGCGTGTCCAGCCGCAGGCGTTGTGAATCACACCCGTAATGCCACGAGCAAGGGCAGAGATGCCACAGACCGAGATTCACGGGCTGCACTCGCCGTGACACCTGTCAGTCCGGCCTCAGACCGATGGCCTGCCACGGTGCCTCCGCCTGGAGACTCCCCTCCTCAGGATCCTCATTTGCAAAACAGGCAGACGCCTTTCTGCTTCTCCCACGGTGGAAAAGGACGTGCCCACTCTGGGAATCTCGTGGCCCTCGAGAAGCAGTGACTGACAGGTGGTGATTTAAATTCCGGAGGGATGGGCTGACCGCTGAAAAATGTTTGTTAAAATTTTTGAGGCACAACTTCCATAAAGTACACAAATCTTAAATATAGAGCTTAAAGTGCATGCATGTGTGTGTGTGTGTGTGTGTGTGTGTGTGTGTAGCCACCACCCGGATAAAAATACGTAACGTTTTCAGCACCATCCCCATGTGCCACCGCTCCCCAAGGGCCACCACTGTTCTGACATCCGTCACCATGGATCGGTTTTTCTTGTTCTTAAATTTCACATACATGAGATCATTGAGTATGAACTCTTCTGAGTCCAACTTCTTTCCTTCGACATTATGTTCGAAGGAAACATAATGAGGTTCATTCGTGTTGCTGCATAGCATTAGTTTCTTCTTTTTTTTTTATTGCTTTATAATACTCGCTTGTGTGAAAGATTGCTGTTTATTGATCCATTTTACTGTTGATGGACATTTGGATTGTTTCCAGACTGAGGCTAATTTGAATAAAGCTGTGAGCATTCTTCTGCATCCCTTTTTGATGGATGAAGCACTTACTTATGTTGGGTGTGTACCCAGGAGTGGAATTGCTGGTCGTGGGGTACATATATTTCCAAAATGACTATATTAAGTGACAGTCATTTTTTTTTTTGGAAAGATTGAATCCTTCTTCCTGATTTTTTTCCTTATGTGCATTCTCTGACCAACGGAGAGGATAATTCTGGGGAAGGCTCTGTTTAATAATGTGGCTTCAGGTTTTCCTGGAACACTTTATGGGTCGATATTGATTAGATGACCACTCCCTAGTAATCTCTTCCTAGAAACCAGAGACGTTCTTCCCTCAGACCTTTCTTCTGTTTGGTCATCACCGTAACCGACTCCCACAGTGGAATCGGAATGAGATGCTTTGGAGCTTAGGGTGAATGACCTCCCCCCCCCCACCTCTCCACACCTTAGGTGGCAACATTCAAGAAGAGCTGGGGGCCACGGAGGAATCTTGGAAGCTCCACATACTCAAAGGAGACTTCAGAACCTGCCAGGAGCTTTATGCTCCACAGGCAGGACAGGGAAGGCAGCAGGGAAAAGAGCAAGCTTTGTTCTTCCCTTCTGCCTTTTCTCCAGGGTTTATGATATTCGGGAGCATTGTATCTACTGCTATTACCTTGAGATAACGTTAGGGTTCGAGTTTGACGTTACTGTAGACAGCCCAATAATCTGCAGGGCATACACGGAGCATTTTACAGGTTATCCTAAACGCGGATACATTTATTAGGAGACCCAGTACCCACAGTCCGCCTCATCCCCCTGGCTGGTCTCTCCGAACGCGGCATCATGAGATTTCCCCTTACACGTTTGCTCCTCTGTGAAACCTCTCTCTCTCTCTCTCTCTCTCTCTCTCTCTCTCTCTCTCTCCCTGTTCCTGCCCATACACTCTCCTTTTTAAGTATGAAATCTCTACCATGCTCCTCACTCCTTTCCTCTGGACCCCTCTTTCTCCCTCTCTCTTCCTCCTTCCACTTTTACTTATCTGGCATATTCTTTGCAGGAAAAAACAATCTCTGGATTCAGACCAGCCAAAATGGCTAGTGTAGAATGCAATGATGCTCCAATGTTCTGTTGAGATGAAGCTACAGGTTCCTATGGCCCCATTAGAGAGAGCCACAGAGAGGGCAATGGTTCGTACTTCCTGCAACGAGACCGGTCAGAGCTGAGCCAGCGAGGCCCAGAGACCTTCCGCCTACTGGAGTGGGGGAGCTCTGAGCTGGGGTGAAGGTGGAAGGACTCAGAACTCAGGGTGGGGAGGGGGGAGGACAGAACAAACACATGTGTGGGGTACACATATTGGCTTGGGTTTCCTCGGCCTGGAGAGTTGGGGGGCAGGTAGTCACGGCGAGGTGGGAGAGGGGGAAGTGTTCGGCCCGGCACCCCGGGAAGGGTCACACAGATCCTTGGCGTACACCTTCAGGGAGTCCCCACAGGATCGAGATCCAGAGCACTGCTTGTCCCCAGGTTATTTAACTTCCCCATCAGCCACCAAGGCCCCTGCAGGTCACACAGAAGGGGTCTCCAGATCTGCCGCAGCTGCGGGATTCTCCCCCGGCCCCTCCCTCCCCCGCAGCCCGAAGATGGTCGCTGTCAGCACTTTCTCTCTGTACGCACATCAACAGGGCCCTTGGATATGACCTCAAGTTCAATTATGGCTTCAATTATGGAATAAAGAAGCAGTTATCGCACACCTATCCCTCACCACAAACGCTGTCTGGGGGCCGGCAGGGACTGGACCTGGGGGAAATCATTAGGGCACTAATTTGAAATCAATTTAAAGTGCATTTGCTTAATGATATGAGCATTGTGAGTTATCTATACATTGTTAATTTAGTTGAGTGTCACACTAGAATTTCATTTTATAAATTGCATTTTTTTTTGGGTCGGCTTTCCCTCTTTTTCTGAAACGAAGGTTGATAATCCCGCCTTCTGGGATTCAGCCCATCAGAGGGGGTCACAGGCACTCACACTCACGCTCCCGGAGCCCCGACGCTACTTAGTGAACAAGCCTGGTTAGTGACAGTGGCCCCGTGACCCCTGTTCCCCGAGCCTGACAGCTGGAAATCCTCAGTCACTCTGAAGTCTCTGGTGTCCGAGACAGTCGGGGCAGGAAACAGGTGCTGCAAGGAGCTTGCATGTCTACGACCCACCTGTGCATCGTGCATCTGTGACAATTTGGGGAGGAGGGCAGAGCACAGTTGTCCCCCTGGGAGAGCTGACCTGCTTCTGAGCTAGTTCTGCCTGGCTCGGAGGGGGAGGCGGCCATGCCCCTTCTCCGTGGGTCACTGCCTTCGACTGGACCAGGAGACAGGAGCAAGTGCTTGGGAAGAAGCCTGCCGTGAAGAGTGAGCTTGGCCTTTGAGTGGCCTTTATGTTCTCCACAGCGGCTGCCACAAGAATGAGGCTGTTGGCTTAAGTGGCAGCTTTTTCGCTGTGCACTGGGCACCTTCAAGGACTGGCACTGGGTGAGCCCCCGCAGGCAGGCAGGCAGGTGGGCTGGGTTCTGCACCGAAGCAGTGGAATGCACTAGACTCTTCCTGGACTCCTGCTCCATGCCCAGCACTGGGGCGCAGTGAATGACGGACCATCCCTGGCATTTATGCAGCCCTCACCTTGTGTCACGCTCTGTCCTAAGGGCTTTGCCATTGTTGCCTTGTTGACTCCTCACGGGAACTCTGAGTTGCACCCAACCACTGGCCCCAGTCAACAGATGGAGTAATTCAGCGCTGTTGGTTGTTTGTAAAACTAGCAGCAATTATTCTCGCTGTATCCCCACCGTTCTGCAATGTGACTTTGCAGCCCCTCCCCCCTGGGGTCGTATGTAGTCTATTTCCCACCGTCCGAATCTGGGCTGCCCCGCACGGACTCTGCCGGGAGGATGCAGGAGAGGTGACGGCGTGATGGTTTTGACCCGAGGCTTCGGGAGGTGTCACCATTTCCTAGGGCAGGTCCGCACAGCACACCCCACCCCAGCTGGGGGCTTAGACCAGAGACATCCATCATCTCACGGTTCTGGAAGCTAGAATTCCAAGGCCAAGGTGCCAGCCTCTGAACCCCGCAGGGGAGGGCCCTTCCTCGCCTCTTGCAGCTTCTGCTGGCGTGCCCGCACGCTTGGGCGTTCCCGTTGGCTGGAGGGCGTGGTGCTCTAATCCTCTGTTTTCACAGCGTCTGTGTGCATGTGTGTGTCTGTGTCCAAATCTCTCCTTTCTACAAGGATGCCAGTTGTGTTGGTTTTCTAGGGCGACCATAACAAGGTACCACCGAGTGGCTTAAACAACCCAAATGTATCTTCTCACAGTTTGGGAGGCTGGAAGTCCAAGGTCAAGGTGCTGGCGGGTGGGTTCCTCCTGAGGCGTCTCTCCCTGGCTCGTAGAGGGCCACCCTCTCGCTGCCGCTGCACCTGGCCGCCCCTCTGTGTGTGCACACCCCCGGTGTCCTCTGCGCGTCCCAACCTCCTCCGCTTGTCAGGACAAGAGTCAAGTTTGGTTAGGACCCACCCGACTAGCCTCATTTTAACCCAATCCCCTCTTCAAAGACTCTGTTTTCAAATAAGGCCACCTTCTGAGGTACTGGGGTGAGGGCTTCCACTTACGAATTTGGGGGGGGGCACATGATTCAGACCACAAAAGGAGGCCTCGTGCACCCCACTCATTCTCCAGAAGCCCGGACACGGCCTGTGAGTGACACATGGCCCTGTGACCCCGTTCCCGCAGTCTGACAGCCAGCTGAGCCCCTGAAGCAAAACCACGCAGCTAACTCCCGGCTGACTGCAGACACGCGGGCGAGCCCTCTAGCACCAGAAGAACCATCCAGAAGAGCTCCACTTAATTTGATTAGCTCGCAGAGTCACGAGCTGAACAAACGGTTGTTTGAAGCCACTTGCTGTTCGAGATGATCCGACAGGCAGCAGTGAGCAGCAGCTGGTGGACTGAGGCTTGGGCCCGGTGTCGTGTGGCCTGCACGAGGTCACGGAGCAGCCTGCTGGTGTGGTCGCCGCACTGTGGGGAAAGGATGCGTCTGTCCCCGAGTATCAGGCTTGTCAGAGTCTCCCTGGGACGCGGGCCCCAGAGCCTCTGAGTGGGACGTCTGGAACTCAGCGGTGCAGGGGACACCCTGGGAGGAGGCCTGCCTCCGCTTCCCCATTTGCCGAGAGGCCCCGGGGACGGCACTTCACCGCTGTAAGGTTTTCCCGTCTGCAAGATGGGCTGGCGATAAGCCTGGCTTACAGAGTGGAGAGGCATCGGTGAGATTCCGAATGTGCCAGCCCCTTGTGAATGGCATAGTGCTGTCCCCGTCTGAGGGAGGAGGCTTTTTTTCTTTTTTTTAAAGATTTTATTTATTTATTTTTAGAGAGGGAAGGGAGGGAGAAAGAGAGAGAAGGAGAAACATCAATGTGTGGTTGCTGGGGGTCATGGCCTGCAACCCAGGCATGTACCCTGACTGGGAATCGAACCTGCGACACTTTGGTTCGCAGCCCACACTCAATCCACTGAGCTATGACAGCTACGGCAAGGCTTTCTTTTTTTAATTGTAGTAATGTCATCGATGGCCTCTGTCCCCTCGGGTGCTACTTGCACCCCTGAGGAGCTCCAGGTCATTGCTCCAGAGTGAGCAACAGAGCAGTGGACAATGACCTTGGAGTCGGCCAGCCTGGGCCGGAAGCCCACCGCTGGGGGCAAATGGGAGAGTCATCTCCGCCTCTGCAGCCTGGGGCACACCCGCCTTCTAGGAAGGGTGTGGGATGAAGCCCTGCCGTGGGTGCTGAGGAGGCCTTTGCCAGGGACTCCGCGACATCTCCGCTTCCTTCCCTCCCCCGCCTGCCTGCGGAGTTCTGCTCCTTCGCGCCAGGCAAGACAGATCTGTCCCGAAGGCTCTCCGGCAGGCAGAGCAGAGCAGAGAGACAGGGGACAGCCCGGTCAGAAGCCTTCTCTCCCCACGCAAGCCAGACAAGTGCAGGCAGCAGGT